ATTAAGGAATTATCAGGTCCTTAAGCTAAGGACTAAAAGGATGGCTGCATCTATTGCTCAGAAGCTCTGAGACTAAAACTACATGTGTAGTTCTGGTATGAAATGGCACCAGACAACTTTAATTTGCCTATTGCATTTCGCTTTTAACCTGTGACTTTAAAAACTGCTGTGTTGGTCAGTACGATTTCAGGAAGGGTTTTTGTAACACGTGTTTTGTAGTTGCTTTATATGCACTAGCTTAAAATGTTGAAGTGTAGGAGGAAAACACTTTAAAAAAAAATAGATTGGTCTGGTAAATTTGATAAAATAGGCGGTAGTCATTGTATGTCTTTTAATAGGTATCACAACCATATAGCAAGAATAATGACGGATGGCAAGTATGAGATGGTGACAGTAAAAGAATACTCTTGGGTGGCACAGTGTTGAGTAAACTGCATGCATATGGATAATGTTCAGTGTACCGAAGTTACGCTCGTAATGATGGAATATAGTCCAGCCTGGACAAAGTAGAGTGTTCTGATATGTATCTTGCTTATTTTCACTACGTGTTGCTTTTTTGTAAAATATCCTAGCGATGTTTTTCTTAATATGGTAGTATCTTATTTTTTTATAATACTTCTGCTTTAGGTCCTGTTTCCCACTGATCTTTGCAGCACGGGGCAAGGAAATTCTTGTAAATAAGATGTTTCAGTCTAGATTTGAGAATCCTAATCAAGAGACTGTTCCTTTTCTTAAGAATAACTGGATTCCTACTGTACAAGCATGGAAGTGGTCTTGCATTATCGACCACATCAGAGAGACCTAATAAAACTGCAGAAATTTGCAGAAGCAGCAGTGAAGGAGTTTCCCATTCGTCAGTTACCAAGATTTACACCCTGGTTTCCAAATGACTTATGCAGACTTCCCCTCAAACCAAAAAAACAGCCACCTGTTATTTCTTGTGAGGAAGCAGAAGAATTGAAACAACTTTCTACACCTTCAGAATGTGTTACAGGATCTCCTGCTTATGACTGCACAAGAAATCTCCTTGAGTTTCAGTCTAATGTGAAACATGGGCAGACTCTGATCCAAGCACAAACTGTTCACAGACCAATTAACTTGGAGAATCAGGAAGAGCCACCAGCTAATGGAAAACAAAAATTGAAAAGGTCTTGGAGTGTCTCTCTCCCTAGCCCTAAGCTTAAAGAAAAGATTCTTCCTTTATCTCAAGAACTGCAAAATAATTTGGAAAGACTAAAACTACATCCATTTTATAGAGCAAAATGGACAATTGAACAGTCTATTTGTAATAATCAGAATTTGGAGGACATCTGGATAAAATTGAATAAACTTATCAAGCAGAATGAATTGCCATCTTGCAATGCTACTATCCAAAGATCTGTGGGACAGATATGGATTTTCTGTGATATATTATACTGTGAATATGTTAGAAATATTCTTAGGGAAAAGCTAAGCCTTACTGAAAAAATGAATTTGCTTGTACATAAATTTGGAATTATATTTAGTTTATAATTGTAAGATAGATTATCATAAGAAAATTGCTGTGTGAAGTACTAGAGTTTGTAAGCAGCTTAGGATAGACAAACTTCAAAACAACTGATGAATTAATGAACAGGGAACCACTTAATATTACTTCGCTACAGTTTTTTAACTGTGATAATATGTTTATTTAACTTTGTTTTGCCAGGAGACTTATGAATAGTTCTGTTAAGATTAGTAAGTTTGTTTGGCTTAGGTACTGCATTTTGTAGCTTTTCTCTACTTTGGTGGCCTAAAGGAAAAAAAATCAATATAAAAATTCCGGACTACAATGGCAAGCTGTGTCCGATAATAAAATTGATGCTTTCAGTCAAGCAAAGTACATCCGCACTGTGCTGCTTTGAAATTAGCAGAAGGAAAAATATTTAAGTGAGTTGTTACAATCACTATAAGGATCTGTAATTATTTTTGATACTGAGACTTTCAAGATCTGATTATGTCCCGAAAGTGGTGTGTGGGGTTTATTTTAATGAAGGCATAGCTCTCGTGTGAAATACCAACTTACTTTCTATAGCGTGTATACACTGTTTAAGTAACTTTATGCATATTTTCCCAGAAATACTAATGAAAATTTCAGTGGAAGCTGTGTTCTGAAAAATAATGAACAACTTAGTATTTGCTGTTTTATGGCCTTGGTAATAAGATATTTTTTTTTTCCTGATGTTTTTGATCTTTTCTCTCTAATTATACTGGGGAACAAGAAAGCACTAACTTCCAGCTACAGGTCAGGAAATTAAGAAATCAGACTTCTATCTGTAAACCTCTGTTTACTGTCTTTATGGAAGGTAAAGGTCTCTGAGGATTTTAATGTGTTTTATGGTGATAAAAGGCTGAGTTCAGAATGCCTTTTTGTCACCTGAAGAATAAAGTGTTTCAAGGTCATGCTGTCCCTGCTGAATTCAGTGTTTGGAGGGTCAGCAGAGCAGTTAAACTCTGCAAGACTATGTATTTCTCTGAGGCACTCCTACTAACTCCAGATAATTTTGCTTTAGCTGGAGGTTGAGGTCTGTGGTATCTGGAAAAGGGGGGAAGATAAGTGAATGGTATTTGTAGATTGTTAGATTATCATTAACACTGGTCAAATAAAAGTGCACATAAGCATAACAGAGATCCCTCTCTATAAAAACTAAATAAAATCTCCTTGTACTTTTACTTACATTTTTCTTTTGATGATATACTTATGTTGGATTAATCATATTTCATTATAGGTATTGCATATTTTTTTGTAGTTTAAAATTAAGGATACTGCTCAGTTTGGATCATTGACATGTATTTTTAAACTTTGAATGTTAAGGGGATCTTATTGCCATTTGGGGTATTTGTGACATTTAATATTAGCACTTAGCAAAATTGATGTAAAATGCTGTCTAGAGTAACTGAGAGTCATTATTAGTTTTAAAGTTTATATAGCTAAGTTATTTCACTGAAATTATTTTTCTGAGCTTAACACTAATAGTAACAAAGTTTCTTTGTGTGTCAGCATTTTTAAAGATATAATGGAGTAGAATGCGGAGTGATTTGAGTTTTATTTAATGTTGTATTTTGTGTCTAGGATCTTAGAAGAAGATATGAGAGGTCATCCTGCAAAGATACAACATTTTCTAATATTAATTTAGTACTCCTATTAAATATGATAATCTACATATCTTAATTTATTTGTGTTTTGGCTTCATTCTGTGATCTATTTATTTATTGTCTCAAATGTGACTAAACTTGATCTGTGACTGTTCCTTTAGAAACAGTCAGCAAGTACCAGTTTATATGGGCTTACTGTAGATCTGAGTAAAATTGGGTAACTGCCAATAATACAGTCCTGCTACATTTATTTAATATACTGACCAAAGAGCTAAACAAACATCTTACTAAACAGAAGGAGAGATTGGTGTCACTGTTCAGGGGTACCTGTCAGCTTCTGCTGTTTTGGGTTGGCTTGTATGCAAATAATGACACATGCACTATGCACACCTCAGCTGGATAATTGTCATGTAATAAAAAGTGAACACGACATTTAGTTTCTCTACAGAATTACTACAGTCCTGGGTAGCACCAATGTACAAGCTGAAATACGGACTTCCCTTTCGAACTGTTCCAGAAATGCTTAGTTCACATGCATGTATAATTCAGTATTTATCTTTTTCATTTTCAGTGTTTAATCTGGTTCTTCATTTACTCTGTTTTGTATATTTTGGGGCTTTTTATTTACCTCTGAGCCTTCAGAGGTCATGTTTCTTAACTTTTCACCATAACAAAGAGAATATATTACCTTTCTTATGTGAAAACAGATTTGTTTGTGTTGATGCTAACTTGCATAGGTCTGCTGTATGGTAGTGTAGGTTCTTGTGAACCAATACAGCCCACTACACCCAAATTATATCGAAATATTTTACACAACTGGAAATAGTGAATGCTGACCAGACATATAAGATGTACAAAAGTACAATAAAGATAAAAGGCCAATACATGTGTCAGTGCCAGGATGTTGATTAACTTGTTGCAGTCCAGAGAAATCCTTTTATTTTATTTTTTAGTTTTAGTTTTCAGAAATTATATGGATTTGTGTTTTAAGTTTCAAAGAAAAATAAATCAGTGTTTTTTACATATTCAGATCAACACTTAAGATTACAAATGCTGAACTTTGTTTCATGTGAATGCTTTCATGAGAAGCTGCATGCAAGCTTAGGGCCATTGGTTTATATGAATAGGGAGGAATTCTTTTAAGAAGCAACATCTTAAATCTGTAATACAAATAAAAATCATGTAACTTTGAGTATTCTGAGTTAAAATAGCCTTTGAAAATACCACTTTCTTGAAGTAGAGGTTTTTTAATAGCAAGGTCTCAGTGATTTTGATTTTGTCAGTATTGATATAATAGTGTTTTTGTAAGTGTGTTCTTGGGGTTTTTGTGATAGATTTGCTGGTTTCAGTTTGTGACTAAAAGAAGAAGTAGTTGTATAAATAATGTAGGCTTTTAGACTTGTGTACCTTTTGGAGATTAGAGTGTAAATGCAATTCCTTATAGCCTAGAGTTTGACTGAAAGTGTCCATACTAGTCATCATGTCCCATTCTAGAGCAACTGGGATCATAGAACAGGCTCTTAGCCTAGAAGAATCTACAAAAAAATGAAACTGGTCCACTTCTCCTGAAGTCCACGAAGCACTTAACGCTGTAATGGGTGTAAGACCTTTAGCGCGTAAGGTTCGAAGCAATAGATGCTAGTGCACCAGGGGAATAAAGCAAGAGGGAGCAATGGCATCACCAGTGCTCTTGGATCTCAGAGTAGAAGTGATTTTTTTATATTGAAAAAGGCCAGGTGATACAAAAATGTGTTACCCTTTTTCAGGCTAAGATTTCGTCATTGTGGGTTTTCTTGGTGGAAGGAGAGCAAGACAAAATTATACTTTTTAAAAAAAAAAAATACTTGTTTCATTGATCTGTGGTTTATTTTCTGATTTTTGCAGTGATGAGGCTAACCAAACCTACTTTATTCACTAATATTCCCGTGACCTGTGAAGAAAGAGATTTGCCAGGTATGTCTTTTCTGCTGACTATTATGTACGTATACCCAGGTTTAAGCAATGTGAGCATCTGAGGCTTAGATGTCAGAGGAGTCTTACGACCTCCCATAGATGGTAATCTGAAGCAGCAATGTATTTTGTTTGGTAATGGCTACAGGGAAATACCAAGGTGCACTCTACAACTCTTGATGTACAGCTTTGAAAGCTTGTTGATGATATTGCAAACACATGACCTCAAAGTCTGAGCAATTAACACACAAGATGGGAGGCAGCTGTGACTTGTAGGTGTAGAAGGTTTGGTGTTAGTGTCTTCTTTATCTGGAGAAAATGCCCTGGTAATTAGAACCAACACACAAATGTTCTATGGAAAATTATTGTGCAAGAATTGCTGCTTTTTGAATTTTGTTATGTGTGGTATACAGGCATAAACTGGAAATCCCTGGGTTGTTCCCCAGTGATAGTTGCAGTCTAGAAGTCAAGTATAAGAAAGAGGCAAAGGAAAGATTCAAGAAAAGAGGATTGTGTGGAAATACAAAGCAAGCAGGGGAGGAAAGTAAGTGAGGTTGATTAGTTCTGTTATGTAATGTACTTTATTTGGGCAAATTTTCCCTTAGTGCTAATTTGAGCAATGCCTTTGGGATTGCGCCTTTCAGTATGCTTACTGAATGATTTATTGGACACAGGTGCCTGGAAGTGAGTTATAATTTATAGGCAAGCCTACAGATATGTATTTCATCCCTAACAAGTTGGTTGTAGAATAAGTATGTCTAAAATAAATTACATCCAAATAAGTGATTAAGTGTCATAACTTAAATGTAGACAAAGCTTTAGACTTAGCAAATATTTAGCAATTTGATATTTCTACAGGTAATCTATTTAACCAGCTCATGAAAGATGATCCTTCTACTGTAAAGGGAGCAGAAACTTTGATGCTAGGAGAAATGCTGACTTTGCCTCAAAATTTTGGGTAAGAATGAATGATTGTAACTGTAACATGCAAAGTTTAGGATTCATTTAACAATGTGTTTATTACTTTTCTTTCTTTTTGAACATCGTTGTTAAGCAATGAGATCTTCAATCATTTAAAAATAATCTGTGGCTTGATTTATAATGTGATATAATATATAAATGTGTGCTGCCTGATGTTCCTTGTCTATAGCCTGACTCTGAATGTAATAAGGATTGAAAGTTCAAAGAAATTTGCAGCTGTAGGTGGATTTCTAATGTAATGCACTACTACAAACCACATCTTATACTAACAGAGTTTACTACAGTGATTTTTGCGGGTACTGTAAGCCATCTTCTTATTCCTCTGAGATTTTTGTCTAGAAGAAGATTCTGATTTGTTTGTTCTCTTTTGAAGTTGTTTGTCTTAAAAGGATGACATTTAGAAGTATGGGTGTGAAAATGTCAACGTACTTTTAGGATCTGATCTGGCAAACGTGTGTGTGTATATTTTAATTAGAACTTAAAGGGGTTTCAGTGAAATGTTCTGTATTTTTTTAAAATTACTGTTGCTAAATGTATTTTATTTTTATGGGTTTTTGGTTTTTGTTTTTTTTTTAAAACACAGAAATATATTTCTGGGAGAGACGTTTTCCAGTTACATTAGTGTACACAATGATAGTAATCAAGTTGTCAAGGACATACTGGTGAAGGTATGTGAAGATAAATCTACTTACTGGATTTATAAAAAAATAAAATGTTGAGTATGTTTTCTGACAATATCTTGTATGTTTAATGCTAATATGTAGACTTTAGGAAATATCTGTCACTTTTTCCAATCCATAAAATATAGCTGGAAATTGGAAACAATAAGACTGAAAAATAGAAATGATGATGGAAATCTTTAAAGATTAAAATTAAAAACTCGGATTGTATGAAAAAAAATAGATATGTTATAAAGCTGCTCTGGAGAATTGGTGTAGAAAAACTTAAATAGCAAAAAATTGGAGTTGTATTTGCTTACTTGCACTTTCAATAAGGTCACCAAACCAAGTGTCTGTAAAGCATGCATTGACTTGTATTTTGCTTATATTTCAAATAACTTCTTTTTTAGTGCATCTTTTTTTTTTTTTTTTCATTTTCTGCTGAACAAATAATACATTGAGAACAGAAATTCCAGAAGTCATTGTGGAACTAAAAGTAAAAAGTAAATAGAGATTTTATAAGCTGCATATTAAAGGATTGGACCATTTACATATATATTTTGGAACTTGTCTTTAGCTTTGACAAATATCTCATCTTAACATAACTTCGTTATATGTATAAAAGTATGTAGGGTACAAAATGCTTAGTGAAACCTAGTACTTTATAACATAAGTTATTTTTCTTTTGATTGCTTTAAGCAGCTGCAATTCTAACCAATGCTTTATTTTTCTGTCCCCAGGCTGATCTTCAGACAAGTTCTCAACGCTTGAACCTTTCAGCTTCTAGTGCTGCTGTGACAGAACTTAAACCTGACTGTTGCATTGATGATGTGATCCACCATGAAGTAAAGGAGATAGGAACACACATGTAAGGTTTTAAATTTTTCTGTGATTACATGAGCTTAAATGAAACTGCAGCACATGCATGCTATTCTGTTGTTGCTTTGATATAGGCACAAAATTTGAAGTAATTAAAAATTATTTTTTAAAAATTGTTTCTTTCAGCTTAGTTTGTGCAGTAAGTTACACTACGCAGACAGGAGAGAAGATGTACTTCAGAAAGTTCTTCAAATTTCAGGTATTGCATGAAGTATTGTACTCTACTTTTAATAAGTGGGTGTATCTGGAAAACCCATTTTTTAAAACATTTGATACTTCAAAAAAAGTTTTGCATACTAAAAATCTGTTTGACTTTTAAAAGTGAACAGATAAAAATGTTGCTTCAATCTTCACATGAAGTGATCATTTCTAATTATGCAGTTAAACATTTCAGAAATAATAAATATTACATCTTACAATTTTTATTTATTGAGAAAGAAAAATCGACTCTTTAAAAAACCTTTTTATAGCAGCCAGCTTTATGATTATTTTTAAGCAGAACAAGTATTGTTCATTCTGACTTTGACACACATAATCTTTGAGTTTAGATTGTAAAATTCTGATTTTTCTTTTAGCATGTGTAACCTTTTTTAAATTGGAACTTTATATATATATATCAGTTATATAACTGAGACCTGTATCTTTTGCAAATGCAGGTGATTTCATTTTGTTCTTTTCTAGTATTCTATCTAGATACTTCAGAGAAAAGCTTTTCAGTCTTTAGAAGGCTGAATTGCCATGTGCTACAGGCAAAGAACACCTGAGCGCTGTTAGTACTTGTGGGCCTTGAAATGGCAGGCATTGATTGGTCAAAGGTGTTTCCATTCAATCCTAGGGAAAATCATTCCATATCCATTTTTGTGTTACCCTCTCCTCTGAACCCAGAAACTCTGCAGTGTTTCTTCATCTTTACTGAAGCTGACTTTCATCTTTGTGTGTTTTTTCTTGCTCTCCTTGTGAAACTCTT